ATTGTAATCGTTACATTACATATCCATAAACTGACTACAATACAGAATGTTTAAATTATTAAGTAATAGGTATTGTTTGTGTTTTTATTTGAATTAAAGCAAGTCATTAGAATGTGTAACAATTTTCATGAAAAAATCCATACACATATCATATTTAGTGTGAAATGATTATGTTTACTTCTGTCCTTTTTTTATAAAACATAGCCAGGCCTTTGATACCGTAGAATAAATACAGAAAAATTTGAAATTTTACAAAATTTAAAATGTCACAGAAAATTAACTACAATAATAAAAACATTAATAAGAAATTTTTTCACCAAATTATTTCTTAAAATGGCTATTTTGAATTTTTTTTAACATTTCTTGTAAATTTTTAATATTATAATTTTGTTATTTAATTATAAAAATGATATTTATTACATTACTTTTATAGCCCTTTAGTATATTAAATAAAATATTAAAAAAAAAATTAGCAAAAAATATTAACTGGATCAAAAGTTATTTAAGTTGTCATTGAGTATCCTGTATAGTATCTCATGTCAACATATCCTAAACTCGGCTTTTTTTTTAATATATTAGGCAAATATTATTAGGCGATGTATTAGAAAATGATTATTTAATACGTGAGATAGTTAAATATTTATTTTGCCATTACAAATAATAACATCCATATAAGGCCTATGAGATAACCAAAGCAGTACTTAATGTTTTTTTTGTGCCTTAAAAAATGTTTTAAACAAATAGAAAATAAATTTATATTTAACAAAAAGCTAAAAAAAAATGTATCAAAATACATATTATTTGACAACTATTTTATTTTTCACTCATGCAACTTATGTTTTATGATCAGTGTAAATTACCATTTGGCGTTAATTAATAAAATAAATAAACAATTTCATGAGAAATGGAGTGGTCAACATTTAAAGAATTACTCTGATGATATAATCCTTATCTAGTGATAGAGTAGTAGTTATGTATTATTTAAATTATTGATATTATACTACAAAATTACTCGAATTCCCATTAGGTATAGTTTCTCAATCTAACTAATAACTATGCAAACATGATATTAGAATTATTCAAATTGTGTACTGGATATTTGCTTTGTAGTTGGTTGTTCTTAATAAGAATAATATTAGTTCATTTAATTATTAAAATTATCAAAATCAAAATAAATAATTTAGAATACTAATATTTTAAAGTATAATTTAATTATTTCCAATTAAAAAATATGAAATTAACTATGGTCTGTAAAATGTTATATAATAAAAAATACTGATGTAAAATGTTATTAAACAACAGTATTGGGAAAATCTTGATATTTATCAAAATAATATTAACTTTTATCTTAGCTAGATCATTATTTAACTAAAAAATAGGGATAGTATTCATATAAATCACACAAACACAAACACTAACACTAACTGTTATAGATAAAAAAAGTAACATTTTATACATAACTTTAATAATTAGTATATATGATTCGCTATTTTTTATTGACGGAGAAGATTAAAAATACTTTAATAACATATAAGGGGGATAGAATTTTTTTTTTATATTGTCTACAACAAAATAGAAACTCATTTAGTACGAATGAGAGGAGGGAAACATTAAAATATATGATTAATAAATAGAAAAATGAATCTATCTGTATTTTATCTAGTTAAATAAATAATTTTATCTTTCATCTAAATCATTTTATCTCCAACTATTTTTATGTCATCTATATGACTTAATTCGAATATCTGTATTTAATCTAGATGAATTTTTATTGTCTATTCCCAACACTGCTAAACAAACATAAAAATAACCTTTGTTGAAATAAAACTAATTAAAACACACTTTTATGCTATATGTTAGAAATATAGCTTTTGTAACATTAACAAACAATTCGCTTGAACAAACGAATTGTAAATAATCTTCTACAATATATCAATTTGATGTCTATTTTTTTTCATATCTTAATTTATTGTTCNTGAAATAAAACTAATTAAAACACACTTTTATGCTATATGTTAGAAATATAGCTTTTGTAACATTAACAAACAATTCGCTTGAAACAAACGAATTGTAAATAATCTTCTACAATATATCAATTTGATGTCTATTTTTTTTCATATCTTAATTTATTGTTTTTGGCCCTACTATAACTTAATAGAAAAATGATCTGTTTATAATAAAACTCCTAATCTCCAAGTTAATAAAAAAAAGAGATATAAAGACTAAAGCTGTAGAATGAAATCAATATTAAAAGAAACTCTTCAGCTTGTGAATAATACTATAACTTTTTTTGAATATATAAAGAATTAAATTTTTCAAAACATTAGGTTTATGCCTCCATAGCCTTATCATTGGGTTGCGTCATGAATAGAAAAATATTGTAGTTTGATTGAAAAGTAATGGGTCCAAGAAAATAATTATACCTAAAAGAAAATTACATCGATATTCAAAATATTCTTTTCGTTTTTAGAAAGTTTTATCTACATATCTTTAACTTATCCAAACTTTCCGCACAATTCACAAATTACATCGACTAATCAGTTATGTTCAAATTGAATAACTATTTTTTACAAATAACCGAAAGCAACTTCAGGATAAATACATACGAAACCAAACCATTAACACGTAAAAACAATAATACATCACCATATCTAATTTTCTTAAAACCCCTTGTTTTAATTTACATAAATAAAAAAATGATTGCCATTTAATGGTTATATTGATACTTAGATGAGTTAATTTTAGATTACTAAAAGCTTATTTTATTAAACCTATTCGTTTTTGATCACCTTGTTTTATTGCTATAAATGTATCACATAGCCAATTTTATTAAAAGTTTTATTTGCATATTGACAAATAGCAATAAAGTTATTTCTCAGTATGAATTCGGAATTTTATAACTAAAGGTTTTTAATAAAAAAATATTATTTTTCAATTAATTGCAGTGTAGTTGCTATCAAAAGTTACAACAAAAAGAGAATTGTACCCTTTTAACAAAAAAAACTTAATTTATGTCCTGATGTTATCAGAATTACTCGCGTTTTTTGCGAGCAACGTAAATGGGAATGTTGATATAATTTGAATTTAAAGATTGCTGCATCACTTTTATAAGTTTTGATACTCAACCATCGTAGACAATAATTGTCTACGATTAATTATTGCTCGTTAATCGTCAACACTATTATACGAGTTTTGACAGTCAGAGACGCCCGCAGAAAAACTTCCCAGGCATGCAAAAATTATTGACAACATTTTAAGTCATAGAAGCAATTCCCTAAGCCCCACACTGAAAAAAAATCTGTCTGTTTTATAAAAAATACATCTAATAATTTTTTGTTAAATTAAACATAGTTTTTTGTTAACTATTACTTTTGTCAGAAGAATAAAAAAATTATCAAATTAACAAGTATTTTTTAAACCAGCACGGTGAGGTTGCAGTACAGAGGGGACGTGGCAAAGTTGGGATGAAGAAATATAGATAATATTTGACAGTGACTAATATCATTATCATAAATAACGCTTTGATGTTAAATTTCATAATTTGTATATTTTTAATTTTACAATTTTTATAATTTAAAATTTCACTTGAATGCTAATTCACATACAATTAAATGCTTGTTAAATTATTACCTTAATTGAAAATAACGTTATTTTTTTTACTTTGACGGCCGATTTCATATAGCAGAACAATCATCGAGACATTTTTTTTTTTAATATTGTAATACACTCAAAAGCTTTAATTTAGTACAGGTTAAAAATTATCAGAGCTTCCGAAACATTTTCAAAAATCGAGATGAAAAAACTAAAATATTAATAAATCTATAAATATTACAATTCACTATTAGAAATAAGCAGACCCAAATTAAAAGGAAAAAATTTCGAATTTTACTAGCCTAGTCTTTATTTGTGACAGTTTTTATGTTTTTTTTGCTCATCACTTTATTTATGGTATTGATATTTTCCATAGGGGGCCAATATAGGTTTTTTATCCGGCCCTATGAATAAGCCTACAAATAAATATTTTATTGTACATACATAATACATTTTACTTGTCCATGGATATGTAAACATCCATGAACTTACAAAACCGATCCCCAACCTAACGTTTCTGAATTTAAAATCCTGTTGGTAACAGTTAACTGATAGATTCTGCGGTAATTGATGCAGAATCTATTTTACATTGACAAAAACTCAAATTTAAATTAAAAGATCTAGTAGTTAGGATTGTATGTTTAGTATTTTTTTTAGCGACATAAAATAAATAAATCTCAATAATAAAAATCTCAAGGAATGCAATGGCACCTCTTTCCTCACCCTCCAGTCGTTCATGACATCGCTTTCTTTGTAGAAAGCATTAGATGCACAAAAAAATCCTTCATAATTAAAAAATTACATTCAAAATTAATTGTTTTTTTCAATATAGTCGAAGACCTTAATTTTTTACACTGTATGCAGTAGTAATAAATAAATTAATTAATCGAGATTAAGGTATTCTTTTTCTTTTTTATAAGCAGGATCCAATTTTGAGACGATAAGAACTGTGATTAATGTTCACAAAATCAAACTAATTGATTAACCAATTTTACAATTGCACACCGCTCACTTGAGAAAATAATTTAATTGAACTCATTTTAGGAGTCTATCTTTCATTAAATTTCCACTAAATGTTTCAGATTACTAAAAATAAAATGAATTCTCTATGAGCCTTAGTAAGCACCGTTAAGATTTATTGAAGAAAAAATCAATACCCATGAAAATTAGTAAAATTAGATTTAATTTAGTCATTGAAAACAGGGAATTTCAACAGTCAATCACAACTCCAAAGCTCCACCCCTTGACCAATGAGAAAAACTTGGTAGCAAGTGATGACGTAAGTCGCATGTATAGGATTTGACAGATGCATCCAGAAATAACGTCAAACAGTGAAATAATTAAATCATAAAAAAAATTAATAAGTCTATAATTTTAACTGTAATAACGTATATCAAATTAATACTCACCACCTTTGGGTCTAAAACGATAGATCGTATTCGTGTCACGAGCTAAATATATATAACAACACCGCACTACAGCCAAACGTTCCCCCCAGAACGGTACTGAATAAATTCAAGGCGGATTTTACTTAAACTCAACATGCGTCCTAAAGCGCCACCCACGCCAGTTGATCCTTAACAGATCCTAACTATAGCAAAGATGAATAACGGCGGCAATTTAATTAGAAACGCTAGTATATATAATATATTCTTTCAGCATTGCAAGATCTTAAAGAAAATTTAATAGCATGTAAATGTTCTAACAAGTCATTAAATAACAACATTAAAAAATTCTGTACATTTTTTTAGTTTTAATACTATTCGTAAAAGAATTTGTTTTAAATAATTTTCTTAATTATCAAACCATTATAACTCTCAGTTCTATTATCTCACTTAATAGGCTGTACTACATATGCTGACGGTGTTAAAAGTTGCGGTAACTTACGAATAACAACTTGCCGATTGTTAAAATATTTTTTTACACACCAAAAGTGAAAATCTATTTTAGAGTGACATTTCTATCAATATTTAAAAGATTTTTTTTATAAACTCAATCCTTCAAATAATTTTCGGCTGGAAACTTTTTTTACCTAGGTTCTCTTAATTAGATAATTATAATAAAAAATTCCACGACAGTGGGATTATATCAAAGTAGTGACGTGGGATTGTTGAGACAAGTATAGATATCTGACAGTGATTAAAATTACTATCATAAAAAAGACTTCGATACAAATCTGTATTATATAATTTTTAGAAGGAATTATTGAATTATCCCAATGTAACAAGAAGTTTTATTTTCTTATTTATATCTTGATTACAATTTATATGATTTATAAGTATAATACATAAAAAATTATAGCAATTACATTTAATAATTTAATATAGTAATTTTTTATGGAGAAATTATAAAAAGTTGTAAGTTGTATACAGACTGATTCTTTTTTTAGTAGCCACTCGATTTCTCTTAAAACAATAATTATATTAAGGAAATTTTTTATGGTATTTTTAATTTTATATATTTAATGATTTAGTAATTATTAAGTTTATTTTTAAAGTCATCCCATATACCTACTAGGAGTGTCAACTCTATTATTTTTAGTGACAACATAAGCTAATAAAATAAAAAATAATATAATTAAGAATATTTCGAAAGTTATTAATAATTTCAAATATAGTAGGAAGAGCGATAAAATAATTATTCTACAATTCACTTCCATTTACAATATTTTAAAATAGTTATAACTTCCGGAATATGTCAAAAATTGTCATCGACAAGTCATTTTTTATTTTATAAGATAGTTATATATGCATGTTGTCATTTAAAATAATAAAGTTAACACACTTATAAGGTATAAAGAATGAATTAAAAAAATTATTATACTTGATAAATCGAGAAATATACGAATTGAAAAATACTGTAAGATTTTTCATACATTATTTATTGTTTAAAGAGAAATCGAGTGGATAAGAGTGGCTACCAAAAAAATTACCTGTATTTTGTAACCTCAATTTAACATAAGACATTTGAAAAACGGTTATTTTTTACACCAAAATAATATTTTATTTTTAACTTTAGGGACCGTTTATACATAGAAAATAAATCGTCAAGATTAATTTATTTTTTAACTTATAGTAAATAATATAAGCTTTATTTCAACATCAAAGTGATTCTTTTAATGCTAGCCACTTAATTTCTCTTAAAATAATAACTTTTTTATACATTTTTAAAGTAATAACTAGTGGTAAGGCACTCATACTAGTAATTTTTTGGTCTCACTCTTCTTCAGCCTAGGTATAAAAATGTTAATAACTTATGAAGTACTATTTCAAAAGTTGTTGTCGACCAGTTATTTTCTTAATTAGATCATTTTCTATTTTTTTGTATGTTGCCTTTAAAAAGTTCACATACTTATAAGATATAAGGGATTAATGGAAAAATCATTTTATAATTGATAAATGGAAATTCATATCAAACTAACAAAAACCAAAAATTTCAAAAAAACTTATTTTTTTAAGAGAAATTGAGTAGCTAGTGTTAAAAGAATCACCTGAATTTCTGAAGCTAAATAAAAAAAAAAAATTAATTTTTGTGCTTAAGTGCTACTTTGAATTCCCTCCTGTAGCCAGGTATAGGTCAATATTTACCAATTTTAAAAATCGTAATTTTTTTTAGGATTTCCACCATTTATGGGGAATGAGAGAAATTTTGGAGGGTAATGTTTTTAACTAGATTCAATTTGTGATTTTTTGACGTATTGTTGAGAAAAATTAGTCCAGTAAAAGCAGTAAAAAGAAATACCTTTTCAGTTTCACATCAAAGCTAAAAATTAAGTTCATTTCCTGATAACACTACTTTTAATTAACTAAACCTATAAGAATAAAAGAAAACATACCAATATATTTACTAACTATTGATAAAGCTAATCATAGTTGAGTAACCAATTTTAAATAACTTTTATATTTTATTCATCAATTTAATTTAAAATAATATATTTTTTCTTTTTAATAATAATTAAAATTAACAATTTATTCATTAAAATTAAAAAAATTCCATGATAAAATAATAAAACTAAATATTTTATTGTTTTTTAAAGAAACACAAAACAAAAAAATATTCACTAATCGTGTATTACAACTGTGCAACATGAATTTTATTAATTTATTAAACTATCTATAAATAATCAAATTACATAAAAATAAAGTACAAAAAAAAAAATTAGTAAAATAACTTAATTGTAGTAAAATATTTATATTAATTAATCAGAAGCATTACTTTGGATTTTTAAAATCGTATCATCTTTTATCTTTGTCATTTTGTCACGTAGTTCTAAAAAGTAATCCTACAATTAAAAATACTCAGTTAGATTTATAATAATACGAAAGCATGCTAAATATTAAAATATTTAAATAAAACATCCTATTATAGTATATGATAATATACAGTACCAGATAATTAAATATTAAACCTGACCTCTACATTTTTTTTGAGATTATTCAGTTGTTCTACATTATTTTTCAAGCAGTTGGTAGTTTTCATCTTAATATAGTTTTTTTCTTCTTCCATTTCAGATAGTCTAATATCAAATCATACAAATTAAATGTAGTAAAAAAAATTAGTAAACATTTTTATATTTTACATTTTTACAAAATTATCTCTCTCTTCTATTTTTGATTTTAATTCTAAATCATCAACAATTATACTTTTAATTTCAGCTTGAATTTTGTACATTTTATTTTCATTTTCTTTTTTCTCCTAAATAGTAAATTAAGCATCAATTAATTAACTACTGATAATTTATGCATTATTTTTCAAGCAATTACTTGAAAGTTTAGCAAATCTGAAAATAAATATATATTATATTGAAATATTTTACCTCAAATCGACGGTCTGTCAGCTCTAATAATCTTTTTTTGTCATCATCGCGCTCTGGAAGTAATCTCTCTATTACTCTTTTTAAATTATTATACTCTAGCACTACCTAATAAAAAAATAAAATTTCATATAATATTTACAAAATTAAATTTCAAATTTTTATAAATGCATAAGATTTAATATAAATATTTTCATATGCAAATTAAAAATTTTAACAAATAATAATAAGTATATTAAAAGATAAAATGAAATTAAGCTTAATTAATGTATACCATACTTGATTTATCTTTATATTTATAATTATTTTATACCTAATTATTATCAGGTATATATATATTATATATTAATTAGATATATATATATATATATATATATATATATATATATTATATATTAATTTCTAAATTTTCATATTCCGAAAACTCAAAAATAAAATTTTCTACTAGTTAACATTAACATTTAATTTAATTTATGTAGGGAAAAGCAAGGTAATATAGCAAGGTTTAGCTTCTACGATTTTTGCTGACTTCTGTAATTGGATGTAAAATCTAAAATTTACATGAGAACTGCTTTGATAACTAGCCTAAAACTACAAAATTTTTAATCGTCTCTTTCATCTTATAAAAGACGCAAAATATAAGATTTCCTGAAAATTATCATTTTTGACATCTTTTCTCAGTTATAGGGTAAGATGATGAAGACAATTATAAAACTTTGTAACCAAAAATATGATAAAAAAATAGGTCTCTTATGAATTAACAGGTATTAAGTACTGCTTTTAGAATATTTTTTATGTAAATTTGAACAATTTTCCTTAGCATACTAATACTGTACCTAAAGTGTTAAGTTCAAATTTACATCAAAACATGCTTAATTTGAATTTCTAACCACAATTAAAATTAATTTACGCGCACATGTGATTATATTAGCAAGTAATAATGAGTACCATACAAAACTTTTATACTAGCTAGGGAATACTGTTCTACTCTATATGATTGATTTAGAAAAATACTAAATTTGTACCCTGTCTTACCTGACAAATCTAAAAATTTGTTAAAAATTAAAATAAGACTTATAATAATATTTTTACAACTTACTGACTCTAGTTCTATTTTCACAGAGGCTAACTTTTGTTCTATATCCTTTAACCTTTCAGAGTTTTTATTTTTCAAATTTTTCAAAATTTCATCTACTTCTTTTAATGATTCTCTAACATGGAGAACTAAAACATTTTTATCTGCTATTGCATTTTCCAATTCTGGTAAAGCAACCATATTTTCAGCTAATAATGTATTATATTGCACAAATAATTTGTCTAGCTAAATTTTTATAAAAAAATAATTACATTTAAGGAAAATTTAAATACTTAGCTGTATTAACTATCATATATATTTTTTTAATATACAATTGTTATATAAATACAGTAGTAAAATAAGTAATAATCATTACTAAGTATTAGTTTTATTAATTACCTCCATTCTAACTTTTACAACATTAAGATCTTCAGAATATACAATGTTAGAATATTTAGTTAAACATTCTTCCTCATATTGAATGTCATGTTTCAGGCTAATTATTTCGGTTTCAATCATTTTCTTGTCCTCTTGAGTGATTTGTTGTCCATTAATACAGTCTTTTACAACATCTAATTCTTTTTTAAGATTCTCTATTTCTTTTTCTAAAAAAGATAAAAAAAAATTTAACATACAAATTTTTACACAATTATGTTGGCTGTATATTCAAATATATATATATATACAATTTTTAAACCATTATCTCAAAAGTTATCAATAATTTTATATTTGAGGAGAATGGTTTAGAAATGTCTGGAGATAAAAATAGTGACACTTGTGTTTCACCCCATCTGTAATTAAAAATAGTAATAACTTCTGAATTACTATGTCAAATGATATATACCATTTATTTTCTTAATTAAAGAATTTTCCAATAAATTGCAACATTTCTACAACTTTTTGAAATTTGTTAAAATTTGATTTTTTTTTATCTAATTATTCTGTTAAAAGAAAGTAAATTACATTTTTTCATACAACCTATGTTATTGACTTTTTATCTATGAAAATTATAAAGGCTCAAATGAGAGCATCTATTATTCAAATGTTCATAATCTCACAAAACAAAATAATATTTTTTACAAACAATGATATTCCTCCTATTCAAAAGGTGGGTTTTAAAATTCAATAGGGATAAAAAAAGTAATTATTTGAAAATATTTAAGAAATACAAGGTGCACAATAGTTAAACATTAAACTAAGTTTATATATTAAATTTGTCTTTTAAATTTAAAATTGTCTTAAATATGTTATACGTTACCAAAGTTAAACAAAAATTTTATTTTTGTGCAAATATTAATTTTTTATATTTTCATTAATATTCAACATAAATTATTTTTAGCTTTTGTGCAAAGTTATAGTGATATTAATCTTTGTCAAATATTATCTATAACTTGTTCCAAATATGCTTAGTATACTGTGCTAGTTTTTTTTAACTTAAAAATACATGAATCAGCAGATTCTTCAATAAAGAAATAATTAGAGACAATATATACCTCCTTGTTTTTAAAAATTAGCCTCCCAAAATTTAAAAGACTAAATTACTTTGATTCTCTAACTATGTAAACTAATATGTATTTACTAAATAACTGAATAATTCTGTACTATTGTGACAAATAATAATTGTTAACAGACTATTACACAGATTAATAAAAAAATTACCTAAATACAAACGCTCATCTTTTTTTTTGGCAATATACTCTTGAACTTCTCCAATACATATTTGGACATCTTTAATATATTTCTTGTTGGATATTATATCTTTTTGAATAGCTACCTTCATTGTTTTCATTTCCTATGCAAAATTATCTAATTATGTTAAATGATATGATACAAAACTCATATAAGTAACATAATTAAAACTTTACTTCTAACTTTTGTTCTTCTGTGTTATCGGTTAATGCAGCAAGTTCTTCTTGATATTCAGCTACTTCAGTTTCTAACTTATTCAACTCAGCTTCATCAACACCAAGTGTATTTTCTATATTAACCATAAATCATGTTAATCATTTATTACAGTAAATGTATTTATTTACTTTGAAATACAGGTGTAAATGTACTAACTATAGTTTTCTAACAATAGTTCTTCTTGTTTTTGTAAAAATTCTTTATCTGTTGGCTTATTCGTTCCTCTACTTTCAACTTGGTATGAGTTTAAAAGAAATGGTAGGTACATCTATACAAAAAAAATTTTAATAAGTAAATTTATAAAAATAAAAATTGTATCCTAATCAATATTAGGATAAATTTTACAACAAATTTTATCTTGTGTATTAATAAACAATGAGAGAACAAAGTAATAAATAAGTAAAAATATAAAAAATATAAATTTAACTACTATACTTTGAACTCCACTGTTTGTTCATAATCTTCATCTTCTATTTCATCTGGGTCAAGAATTGATGGATACAGTGTCTCCATTACATTAAACCGATTTTGAGTTTCGCACAACTCAACTAACCATAATAATAAACCCACAACTTGAGGGAATGAATGACTTGCATTTACTAAGAATAAAATTTAATGTAACAATAAAATTAAGCACAGTTGGTATCCACTGAAGTAAAGATTAACATTAAACACTTAAATAGATTAGTAATAATTTGTATCTGACAATGAGTGAAATCACTAATGTAGAACTCTAATACATATTTAAACAAATTTTTAAAAATCTAATTATATTCACTAAATATTACAAGATTTTCAATTTAAGTTATTATTTGTAATAGACTAGTTTTTAGTATTTCTAATTTTTTAAATCGTATAGTATATATTAAATAAGCTCTAATTTTATATAATTCAGAATAATGTTGGTATTTCTATTTTAAGCAAAGCACTTCAAAAATGGCCATTTTTATCAAAAATGTATGACTTTTAAAATAAACAATTGATTAAAAATTGAAAAGAAAATAAATTTTACATGTAATTTAACCCGTAGTGATTGAGTTTAGAAAAATTATATTGTCGGTAAGATTAATGTAAAAATTATTATCAATGAAAATTTCATAATGATCTATCCAGGTTTTAAAAAGTTATTTTAATAAAAGTAAAAACAAAAAATATCAACATTGTCTATTGGATAAACATTGTAATTTTATGTATATTCTTTTATTATTAAGATCGAGGAGAATTTTCCAAAATAAATTCTAACAAAATCTTCAGAAAAGATGATGATGTCTCAAGAGTATACATAGTGGGTATTTTTTGGGAAGGATGTCATTCTTTGTTTAACGCCTATGATGATAACTTGGTTGTTAAAACGAATATTCATGGTTATTGACAATACTATTGTGTCTTTTAAAGCTCAGTATTTTTAACACATGTAAACTTTTTTTTAAATAATATTAGCTACTAATTAATCATTAATTGTTATTTGAATACATTTAAGATTCAATACCTGTTATTAACCAAGATTTATCGACTTTCCCTTTATAATAGTACTTCTTCATAATTTTTGGAAGCTCTTCCATGTACTTTGTTTTATTTAAAGTTTGATTTCGATCAAGTTTATGTAATAAAAATTCACACATATCAGTAAACATTGTTGTAGTCATTGGACGCATATTACCATTATTCAATATATGACTCGCATTAGGAGTAGTTAAAAAATAATTTTGTATCTAAAATTAAAACAAAATATTGCTAAGTAATATATTGTAAATTTAAAATTATAAAAAAAAAATACTATTACTTTTTGAATTGCTGATTGCAAAAAATCTTTGTCAGTTAATGGTCGTACTTCTTTTCTATTCTTTACCACACCATAACTACTGTAACGTGACTCAGTACTTAATCTACGTGATCTGAAGAATATAATTTGTTATGATTAAAAAACAATTAAAATATAATGATATAAGCAAATTGTAACATACAAAAGAGACTATCCTTTTTTTTTATTGTTTTGGAATCTTGTTTTTAGTCATTATTTTAGTTATAAACTTAATTTATTGTCTTACTAAATTATTACTCTATTTACTTATTTTATTTTAAAAGGTAACTGTAGTACCCATATATTTCTTATTCAATTTAATAGATCTTAAATTAATAAATTCTTATTTCTAACAAAAAAAATATAATAACATTTTTAAAACGTTTTTAATAAAAATAAAGCACATTTAAATATTAAATTGTTTAACTTATTAAATAAAATACTTCATAAAAACAAAAGTATTCTCCTAATTATACTAATACTTGACTATATAAATATATTTTTCATTGAAAAAAATTGACTTACTTATAACTAGAATTAATACCAGGTAAATTTGGGTTTAGTCCTGGGGTAACACATGGTGTGGATGCAACTAGATTGATTCCAGTCATATTCATATTTGTAGTAGAACGTACTATGGCATGTTTAGTTGTGGATGGCTTTTTAACTGTAGATGTCCATTGTTTTGGATCATGTGCAGCAAGATTATCTGAAGACAATGACTTTTTAGAAGAAAACCCTGGTTTCATAAGCATCGACTTTTTTTCAATACCACGACTGTCTCTTTTATTCAATCTGCCTCGCAAAAAAATAGAATACAATTTAAATAAATTAACAAAACATGATATAAGTATTAGAAGTTACGTATTATTTATATCACACATTCACATGAAATTTATAAATCAACATTACTTTAATAGTTTGTACAAATACCTTATATCACTACCATCAAATGAACTTTGTCTTCCAAAAGTAGAGCCCCCAAATGTGTTTCGGCCTGCAGCAGATGACCGCCTGCCACATGATGCTTTTCTCATAATAGAATGTTTTTAAATAATTTTTATTGATTAAAATCAATATTACCTTAAACAAATAATAGGTAGTTAACAAATATTAAAGTTTTTTAAATTAATATACAGTTTTAATTGTATATTGTACTATGTTTAAATCTACGAAAAAACCAAAAATAATAATAATTAAAATCAACACTGTAAATAATCAAAATTACTTTAATTACTACTTACAAATTTCTAAAACCCCTACTGATACAATGTATATCTGAGAAAATACGACAGTAAATATACGTTATCTTTCGAGTTTAAATTTCAAACGTTGTTACAGTTGTACCAACTCTAAACAATTATTGTTAGGGAGGGAGTAACAAGTTGAGAAAACAAGTTTGTCTCCCTTATTGTTCACTAAGAGCGTCATTAAGATAGACTAACTAATCGACAAACCAATGCTAGTACTCTGCAATTAGTAAAACCAACATGTAAAAATCAAACTTATACCTACCAATATTTCAATATTCAATACATACACAATTACACTTATTTTACCTGTGGTAAAGAGCATAAGGTGATAACCTTTTTGTTTTGATTTATGCAACTTAGAGAAACACAAACTATTTTTTTATAATTTATTTCTTCAGCTCCCCTACTGTACTGTGTCACAGGTTTCACAAATCCATTGATATACCATATCAAATATTCAGTTCATTCGCCTATCCTCTCTAACTTTAAAAATAATTCTAACGTGCAAAATAAATCTATTTTATGAAAATGAAGTTAAGTTAGACTTTGTAAGTTTGTGCAGATACCAATGAAGTCTTATAATTAATGACTCCTAAAGTTATAATTTTGATTAAAATCTTTTAAAAATTAGCCATCACTTTAACAAAAATAGTCAAATACCTCCTCCCCCCAAGAAACGTTTTCTGTGTCCTCAACTGTTGTAACTTAACATTGTTATACAAATTTTTTTAAGAATATTACTTATTTTTAAATGTACCTTAGATAAAATTTGGATGGCTTTAAATATGTTGACAAACCTAAAATTATAGTTAACTACAGTGTAATAAACCAAAAATAAAAAGAAAGAAAAGAAATAAGATGGTAATAGAATAAAAGTAAATAATTAAATAAAATATAAATAAATAAATGATTATATTAACTATATGATTTTTTTTTTTAAATTAAAATTAAATGTCTCGTCTATAATAATTATTATATGATTTACATATTAATTGTTTCTCTTATTAATTATTAATTTTCCTATTTAATTTTTATTAATGGTTTATTACGCAATAGATTGTTAGAGATTCGAAAGCATAGATTAAATTGTATTTACCTTACGTCCTGTGTAATGCAATAATATTTCAAATAATCCAATGTTGATTTTGATATTAAACGCACTACATATACGATTTACACTATACGTCATATAGTCCATATAATTACTTACAAAAACTATTCAAAATTTTAAATAATAAGATTTAATTACATAAAGTCTACGACTGATCTTACTTGTAAATGATTCTAAACACTCTATATTTTATTATAAATATAATTTAAATTTTTTTTTACTTATTGATTTTTTTACGTCTGTTGAACAAGTATTTCTTTTAGAGAATATATTTTATTGAGAGATCGACACCAATATTTCTTAAATTTTCCTCTGGCCTGGCCAAAACAAAATTCAAAAATATTTATATCTGTGTAAAGAATTTATCAAGGCGGAATTGTGGTGGCCCAATGTGTCGGGGCGATAGAAAGCACCTTGAAAGAATGCGGCACAAAATCACCAAGACAAAAATTAAACATTGCAAATATACTCGTAAGTTTCTCTACGTTGTCTGCCGGCGCACAGTGGGACCAAACGCTGATTTAGCCGGCCAAAAGTACCATTTTTAAATCAACTAATAAAAATTTTTTTTTTAGCAAATTTTTTTTATTATATCCTTATAAGGTCATGTACAAAAATTCAAGGCCAAAAATTGATATAGTAATGGTTGGGTGCTATTTAAATATCATAACACTGTATTTTTTTGTTTTTTTTCTAGGATTTTTATTATTTCTTCAATCATTTTTTCCTTTATTTTTTAAATAAAGTTTTTAATGTAACATGTTTTAACATGTAACACAATCTGATTAAACAGAAAAATGTTTTGGTAATAATAGTATTTTATTTTATGTGTATTATTAAAAACTTTATTTAAACTTAATTTTAACGAATCATTAGTTTTAATTACATCTAATTTTTACAACTTTTAAGCTGATAAAGTTGATCGAACTGATAAAACCAATGAAATGATTAAAATTACAATTTTTACAAAAATACACGTTTATTATAGGGAAATTCTATGTGCAGGGCTCAAATGCAATCTGACGCAAAATTTTTTTTTTTGTAATTGTAGCTTAAGAGTTCTTCTACAACGTGCATGTATTGGTGTAATCGTAGTATTGCGTAATTTTGAGTTAAACTCTTTAAAAAACAATGTAAAATAAGTATTTGCTTTTTTTTGTGTGTAAAAAATTATTAAAATTAAAAAAAAAAAGAAATAAAAATTTTTTCTTAGTAAATTTGAAAGCCGATGACTTTTTAAACATTTTAAATTAAAAAAAAAAAAATTAAGGTTTTTAATTAAGCAGGAAAAAATGATTGAAGAAATAATAAAAATCCTAGAAAAAAAACAAAAAAATACAGTGTTATGATATTTAAATAGCACCCAACCATTACTATATCAACTTTTGGCCTTGAATTTTTGTACATGACCTTATAAGGATATAATAAAAAAAATTTGCTAAAAAAAAAATTTTTATTAGTTGATTTAAAAATGGTACTTTTGGCCGGCTAAATCAACGTTTGGTCCCACTGTGCGGCGCTATGTTTGTTAAAACAAAGACATTAGCAACGAGACTAGCTACCCAATAAGAAAAGCTCACAATAATTTTTATTATTAAATAAAATTTAGAGTTGGGTTGGATTTATTATTAAAATAAAAAAATTTAATATTTAAAATATTATTTGATATTTATTTCCACAACAACAAAAATAAAACATTATTATTTAATAAACAAATTAAATCAAATCAAAAGATTTACCAAAACAAAATTCACTTTAAAATTTCTGAGTGTCTTTTATTTATTTTTTTTTAAATATTCCAAGTCCAAATTAATCAAAAAAATCGACCAAGTCCCGGAGATTGAAATCTTGAATAGAGTGTCATAGATTTTAAAATCGTCGAAAGAACTGGTTTAGACGGGGGTAAACGTGTTGCTATATAAATCATTTCTAAAAAAAAATGATTGTTTTTTCTCCTGAATTAACAATTGATTTTTACAAATATAATCAAATTTTATAATAAACTCAATTGAGTAAATCTTTTTAACAACTTTGTTTTGATTGGTACATTTAGTTAAAGTAAATCATTAAAATTAATTAAGTTCTCAATATTTCAATTATAGAATCTTTTCAACAAACAACAAAAGTTCCTAGGAAATTATTACTATTACTTCTATTTAAGTTATCTATTACCATAAAAATGCAAAAAAATATTGAGCTTTTCTGATAAATTTACAATAAATAGTAATTATAAAACTTTCTGACTGCATATTGATCTTAACGATACAATTTTTTTAATTGTCATAAAATTTTCTATTTAATTATGTCAATGTCAAACTTACCAATTGAGCTAAAAGTTATGGTAAAATAAATTTTTTTTTTTTTTTATAAACATTTACAACAATCAACTTTAAACGATTAACAAAATTGGTTAAATATGTCATTTTCCTTATTTTTAACTTATTAATAATCAAATTAATATTAAATATTATATCAAATCAGTATTAATTTAAAACAATTTTTTTTGTTCTTAATTATTTTTTTTTATATGTAAAAACTATTTTTTAATAATATTAAAACTTAGAAGTTATAGAAAAAGTCTAATTGCACATTTTAAAACATCGCGAAAAGTTGATTTAGAATAGTATATTTTTGTTTCTGATGGAAGTTCCTTGTAGTCCAGTGTATAAAACTTATAACTTTGTTAATTGTTATAACTTTATCAAAAATGACCAAATCAGTATATTTTTTTTTATTTAGATGCATGTCTTTATCTATCATTTGGTTTTTTTTATAAATCTAACCCTTTACCTGCCCACAAGAGGGATTCAAAATATTAACTTTTTTTTTTTTAGTTAAAGTAAATCATTAAAATTAATTCAGTTCTGGATATTTCAATAGTAGAATCTTTTTAAATATCAAAAATTACTTAGAAATGATTACTATGATTTCTATTTAAGTGTTCTATTACGATAAAAATGCAAAAAATAATGAGTTTTTCTGATAAATTTACAATAAATAATAATTATAAAACTTTCTGACTGCATATTAATCTTAAAAATAACATTGTTTTAATTCTCATAAAATTTTCTATTTAATGATTCATTCTAGTCAACGAAGGAGTAATTTTGCAGAATAGCAGAAAAAATTCCCAACAAACTTTTTTTTTTTTTGTTTTAATTAGGCAATTGGTGGATTATTCCAAAAGCAACATCAACTCTTATTTCTTTAATTATATCATGATTAGTAGTTCTTTGATTTTAAAATATAATATTTGAATATATACTAATTATAATTATTAAATTTAGTATGAAATTGATATTTAATATTGTAATTTAAACGGAGAAATTATAAAAATAATAAAGAAGTTATATTTTGCTTTACTTTTACGTGTATAAAAATTTAAAGGGCTTGATACAATAATTTTCAATAAAAACTGTTTGTTACTATAAAAAAATGCACTGGACTACAAGGAACTTTCATCAGAAGCAAAAATATACTTTTCTAAATCAACTTTTCGCGTTGTTTTCAAATCTGCAAGTAGACTATTTCTATCACTTCTAATTTTTTATATTATTACTAATTATATATATAAAATAATAATTAAAAGAAAAAAAAATTTGTTTTCAAATTATTACTGATTTGATTTTTAATATGTTAAAAATAATCAGTCCAAATTTTCAATTTTAACCTATTTTTTTGGTTCTTTAAAGTTGATGAAAAATTTTTGATAAAGATTTATGAAAGTTTATAGTAAAATAAATTGAATATATTACCATAACTTTTAGCTCAATTACAAGTTTAAAATTGACATCTAGGCCAGTCAACAAAGGAAAAATTGCGGAAAAAATTTTGTTTTTTTAAAAGTTGAATTAAAATATGTATAATGACATACTAATAGTCCTCAAGATTGGAATTGAGCTTTTTTTTTAAATCCTCGCAAAAGTTCAAAAATATGAGCTTTCTTAATTTTCTCAAAAAAAAATATTTAACTTACAAAAAAAAGTTTCGCACAAAAGTTGTTTAAAAGACAATTATA